CTTACCCCTCCGCCCAGTGGCCAAACTCGCCGTAGCTCATGTTGATCAGATCGCAGCCGCTCTCGATGACCTTGATAAAGGCCCGGACAATGCCCGCCCCGGTCTCCATCGTGCCCAGGCGGTGGTCGCCAATGACGATGCTGACAATCTGGGCGCCGGGCGCGACGCCGTTTCGCTCCGGGTCGTCGGGAAAGTTCGCCGCGGCGATCGAGGCGACGTGGCTGCCGTGGGAGCTGCACTGGAGGTGGTCGGAAAAAAACGTTGAAATTAAGTCGAACCAAAAGGTAAAGTAAACACATACCTGTCCGACAATCTCCAGCAGATTGCCCTCATTGTAGATGTTGACGCCGTAGTTGAAGCGGTCCCGGTCGCTGAGCATCCCGTACTTCAGCGTTTCGCGGTACGTTCCCAGCAGCGTCGCCGACTCGAGGTCGCCGGTGCCGCTGGTGTCGATACAGGCTCTAGAAAACGAGAGTTTTAGAATGTAAACAAAGCAGCCATTTTGTTTAGATGTTAGATCTTTCTTACCGCCACATCTGCCCGTCGTGAAAGACCACACAGTCAAAGGTGGGCCCTTGGTCGACCAGAGCCTTCCCGTCGGCGCCCTTCAGCAGCTCCACCTGCGCCTGCAGCTCCTCACGCCTCAGCGCCGCCTCGATGCGCTCCTTTGGTTCTAAATCGTCCGCCTTTTTACCAGAGGAAGCCTCTTTTTCAGTGTACTCATTCAGCGCCTTCACCGCCGCCGCCAGCAGTGGCTTGTTCACCGGACTGAACTCCTTCTCGAGGTACTCCTTCGTCAGGTGCCCCTTCACCGACTTGTCAAAGAGCTCGTAGACGTTCTTGACGCCCAGGTGGTACTTGCCGGTGGGGTTGCTCCAGCTGCTGGGAATCTAGGGGGGGGGAAATGTGTGATTTAGAAAATGATACGAGTTCGAAATGGCCATAACCCTCACCTTCAACTTCCGTCCCGTCAGTCCGGTAATGCAGCCGTCCACCTTATCAACTTCCACCACGGTGCTCGTGTCCACATCGCCCGCCCCCGTGGCGTCCATCATGTCCACCACCTTCGGCCGACCATCGCTGGTCACCTGCATGCCCGCCGCGCCCGGGTCGACGCCCGAATCGAGGATGGCAATCTTCACGCCGCGGCCATCAAAGGCAGGGTTACGGGCGAGGAAGGCGGCCGCCGTCGTCTCCCTCTTCGGCAGCAGCGCCCAGTAGGGAAAGGCGTCCAGCGTCTCGTTGATGTTCGACATCTTCTTCTTCGAGGTTTTCGAGGTTTTGGTTTGTTCGAAGACTTTGAAGTTTGCAGGAAGGTCGTTGCAAATGGAGTGTTTTCCTCTAGAGAAAGTTGTTGTTGTGGTGGTGGTAGTGCTGCAAATCAGAGCCGATGATAATCGCCGGTGGTGGTGGTGGTGATAGGGGAAAACTGTGAGAGCTCCTCTTGTCTGGAGATATGGTTTTATCAACTGCAACGATGTTTGCTTTACGACTACCGCAGCTGCGAGCAGAGAACAACAACTGTTTCTGCTGCTCGAGAAGGCAGTAAAAGATGGGCGAAAAACTTGTTGATGGTGATGAGATGAACTTCGGGCGGCAACGTCACCGAAACGATGAAGTCGCCAAAGTGATGGAGGTAAAAGCTGGAGGTGAATGGTGACTGAATAAAAACACTCCGCCCAAGCTGATCAAAGTACGTTCACACTCAATTGGTTCGAAATTGAAACACTGCAATAAAAGCAAAAAAGAGGTTGTTAGATGAGATGATTCTCGAAACATATGTTTGCTTTTTGTTATGTCAGAGAAAGTGTCAAAGTGCTTTTCTAGTTCTTTTATAGTTGACCACAATCATGACTGACTGACTGACTACGGCTTCGCCAGGCAGGATGCCACACAAGCAGAGAGGGCAATAAAAAGTGGAAACCATAAAATAAAATTTAGAGATCGA